GATCCAGATCACCCAGGATCGGATCTCACTCTAGACGTTTTTGCATATAGCGAGTTCCACCCGTTTGCATTGGAGAACTAGTAAAGCGACTTTGACGACGAGTAGCGCCCGATTCTGTTGCTTTTGGAATTCTTATCATACCAAAAATGTGGCTCTAACCCGTTTGTGTTGCTCACTGATCGGGGGCGCGACGTTCTAGGGAGGTACTCAACCATCGGTCAGGTTCGATTTCCGCGGGATTGGATATTGACGCGCTGAGGAGCATATCTATATGGACGCTCATCGAGGGGGAGAAGCGATATGGGGTAGGCTAGTGATGTGGTGCAGGTGGTCAGCATTGAAAATTCTGCTTGGTTTCTTCACACTTGTAGCAGAATTTGGAATGTAAAACTTCTGATCTCAGCTGAGGAAAGAGAGAATTTATTCCAACGCTGATGGTGGTCAGTGTTGCCGAGCAGGTCCTCAGTCTTGGTCAGCAGGAAGGGGCTGTGCTCTTGGATTTGACCTCGTCTATTGAGGAGGTGTATCGAACCTCGGAGGCACCACTTGATGTTGGGAAGATGGGCGACTGTTTTTACATGGTGGGTTTGGTGGCGATTTTGTCACGCGCCACGAATTATGGTGGACAGGTGACTCCGTTGGGGGTCCGTCGGTTGCCTATTGGGTGTGTTGCGGAAATGGTCCTCCATTTCGGGCTGCCTTGTAAGCAGGCTAGTCTTAATGACGAGTTTGTCGCAGCGGTTATGGATGATGGTGAGCCTTTGATGCACCCGGGTTCGATCCCGGCACCTGTCATTTCTTCGTCAGGCACGCTTGGTCTCTTCCGTTATATCGATGGGTCGTTCAAGGAGATCCCCACTGACCGTCTTGGCTGTTCTGACGGCCCAGGCGCCTCAGATGCCACCCCTCCCCTCTGGGGTTTGGCCCATGTGAGCGGTGGTAAGATGACGAATTACCTCACGCTTGTGGAGCAGGAGACCAGCGCTGTGAAAATGTAAGTGTGTTGTGTGGAGGGAATCATCGACAGCTTCGCTCCGCCCTAATTTTAGTTACGATATTTCTAACACTACTCCTGTACTGGTATTTGACGTTGGATGTATTGCTGTTGCGCCACCGTTGTTGCATCCTAGGTGAAGACAACCAACTTGTTCCTGTCCATCACTGATCCTACATCTAGGTGAGCTTGGTATAGGGTCTGCGAGGGAATATGAAATTACTGCTAACCATCGTGGGAGGGTTTGCACATGATTGGTGACAACATGAAAATTATAGAGAAACTCTCATTAGTTTATGTGCACTTGTACTCGAATTCATATGTAAACTCCTGAGCTGAGCTGAGGAAAGCGAACATATATTTCTCGAACACTGTTGCTGACTGATGGACGGAACTGAGCTTCAACTCGAGGGGATGTTCCTTTTGGGTGTACTAATGCTCAGCTTTATAGTAGATGCCGCTGTGAGGAGGTATGCAAATGGTCAACTACCTGTGTTAGTGATTATAGGAGAAAATTTTGGGAAATTGTATTCTGGTTTCGGTGGACTTCTATCCTAGTTCATATGTAAACTGTTCTGAATAATTAGTGAGGAAACTGCTGAACTCAGCTGAGAAGAGCTGAGAATATACGTCGTGCGTTCGATCGAAACGGAAAGGGCATTGACTTGTCTATGATTATTCATTTTGTTTTAACGTCTAATCAGCTTGGAAAGGTTGCTCGTGAGAATCGAAAAATTATGCATTTCTTGAAGTGAATTCCTTACACATGCAATATGTTCATGCTGAACGATGTGTGTTGGTGACAATAGATAAATTCTGAGGAAATATTCAGAATTCTGCGAAATTTTTTATTCAAGCGAATTCGGGTAGGAGTGTAGAAAAACCAAGCAGAATTTACTAAAATTTTCTAAGAGTTTTTTCCGTATTATCACCGACACATGTAGTTGACCATATGCATACTGTAATTTCCGGGAAAATAATGTAAAAATTGAAAAATTTTTCCCACAGTGTCTATTGTACGCTCTTTGTGGTAGGCCAATTTCACCGCCGCCCGCGCCTCCACCGATTGACGCGTCATCAGTCATCGCGGCTGTACAACTACACTGGATGGGCGACTCTCCTACCATGGTGGTGCTTATAAGGAACAGACCTCCGCTGATGTAGGAGGCGGAGCGAAGCGATTTTTGTTGTTATATTTTTGGTGTGTAGATATCGATCATTTCCTTGCCCTGGTCGACCGTTGGAGGAGAGTTTCCCATACTCATTTCAGATGGTAGAGCATAGAAATTGTGGACTAGTTGCTGAGATGAGCTCTTCTACTGAGGATGCTACGATTTGGGTAGGAAGCGTGCGGTCTTGGAAATTTGCTGAACTCGTTGTTGTCGTTGGTGCTGAGATATATGTTCGCTTTCCTCAGTTGAGACTATACAAATTTGGGTGGAAGTAGACAGAAATTTGTCAAAATTTCCTCTCAGCATTTTCATATTGTTGCCAACATATGTAGAATATGTGCGACCACACTGGTTATTGTTGTTGTTGTGCTTAGGCGTCATCCGCGCTGGTCTCGCGCTTTGACGGGCTGGGTTCGTATGGTGAGGAAGGGTTGTTCATAATACCGGCGCCGAGAGCATCGCCGTTGGTCGTGGTGACGAGTGGGAGTGGAGAAACGTAGGGAGGTGCTGGGAATTGAACCGGGGACCTTTCGCATCGTGGCAGGTTCGTTCATCCGATCGGCCCGCCTGGTACGGTATCGGTTGCGGCGTTGAGTACGGGGTACAATCCTGATGGGCTTATAACGGTGCAGTTGTCAGCTGCTGATGAGGAACAGAAACAGGGTAAGTCGATCATCTCACTCTTTTCGAGGGGAGAGTGGTAGAGACATGATGACATAAATTTCCGGTTCCCGACAAGAACCAGGGTTAGAATATTTGGGCGGTTTCCGAAGTCACATTATGGAAATTCACACACGAACTGAAACAAACTGTATAGGAAACAAGAGGAATTTGTTATCTCATTTGTCGATCATCTACTACTCTTTGAGAGGAGAGTTTGACATAACCTTCCGAGAGGTTATCACATGACGGCTGATCAAGAATTAATGTTGGCATATTTGTTTGGTTTCCATAGCTGAGCTCAGGAGGCTCATCA